ACGCCACATGTGATGGAACAAGGATTTCTAAAAGGTCTTAACAGCATTCGATGCAGCATTTTATCTCTTTCAAATGGTGAAAAATCGTTGCAGCGTACTCAAAGAGCTTTCGGAAAATTACCAAAATCTGCGGCCCGTACTTTTCGTGATGATCAAGTTTCACCTTTTTCTAAAATTTTATAATAATATTGCAAAGAAGTCCAAGTAACGTGTGGATACAGCAAACCTACAGGATGCAGAAATAATTTTTCGCCTTTCCACAGCTCGTCATACTTTTTCAACAGAATTTTAACTGAAGCTACCAATTTACACACTTGGACAGCTAAATCCTCGTAGAACATCAAAGATAGAACAGCTCGGGTACTATTCGATGTAGCTATTCCTCGTCTTTCTACGTTCAGCCCTTGGAGATAAAATCATCGTAACTCATGTTTTTGAACGCGCCTAACGCTGTACCCGAAAAACTTGTAATTTAATGTTTCGAATCCGTAAACTCTCACTTGCTTCGTAAAATCAATATTAATTCATATACCATCTCGGAGTCCGAATAATTACTTATTTTTGGTGATTGTGGCTGGCGTAGGCCTGCCAAAATCTGATGATTTTGGTTCAAAAATCTTCTAAAAGATTACCGCGAGTATAAAGAAGAGAAAAAATGTGTACTGTATCCTATGAGGTTTGCTCTATCTGATCGTTACTTGAACTCCTTCTGAGGATTGATATGAAAGTTTTAACACAATGTGAAACTTGACCAACTCAAAAGCATGGATAACAGGTTTTAAAGATTTTCCGAGAGCTCATTGATTGTTTTGCAATCAAATGCAAAAGTCTTTTAGAAAACTCTGTTTCATCAATGTGGCATCCGTTTGAAAAAAGCGAAATTACTTTCGGAAGAACCTAATATATTCGCATTCGAATTTCGATATTTGGAGATTTTCCATTTTCAAATAGATGAACAAATTTCGGAAACTCGATCGACCGAAAAAAAGGTTTCGAATGACTTTTATTCAAATGTTTCATTCGAATGTTTTATTCGATTTGTACTCGAATGAAACCCGCATTCGAATTATTCGAGTTCGTTGCACAACCAACTGTTGAGTGTCAAGCCCGCTTTGTCTGTGTTTCCCGCAAGGCCAATAATGCATCTTTTTTTCAGCCGTGATCACTTTTAAACTGTATAAAAACTCACTTTCCTCCAACTGCTTGCGAAAAAAAAATTGTTGTAGATTTTGATTGGTTGTTTTCGATCAATGAGATAGTTTGAACCGCTATTGGCACCAAATCGGCAAAAAAAACAGCTATGAAATTCAAGCTCATGATCCGAGTTCATGTAGTGGAAGTGTGTTGACTTGCCTTCTCTCTTCCTTTGTGTTGCTCATGCTTGTGGTCTACAAAGTTCCACACTAATGAGTTTACTTGTTAAACTCATGTTGCACAATTGCTCGAGATTTTTTGTTTTCGAATTTATTTCGTTTAATCAGAATTTTTCGCAAATTTATTCGTTATTCGTTCGTTCGATAAATTCGAGTTTCATTCGATATAATTATGGTACATCTCTGATATGCAAGCGTACGCCTTCGACAAGAATTAACAAACAAACGACTGAGTATCGATCTAACGAGAAATCAAATAGCCTTCAAAGAGGCGATATCAGATATATGCGTCTTTACTATTACCGTCTCCTCTTTACCTCACCACAGCTGAAACACAACCAGCTCTTAATTTTCAAAAAACCCTTTTCCCTTCAGCACGTGGCAAAGATTCTAGCCTTCTTTTACACTCATGTGGTTTCTAGCCTTCTTTTACAGTCACGTGGTTATTGAACGGACAAAGAGTGGGTCACAAAGTGCAAGTGTAAGTACGTGAATTATACGTAGCCATTATCTATAATGAGGCAGAAACTGAGCGACGTTATAACTGTAGTTAGTTTTGTGGAATAGCTTTCTGGCTGCGGTAATATGTCTGAGCAAAAACGTTAGCAATTTTTGGCCGGTTGAGCTCACTATGACAACTCTTATATTCTAGATACGTTTGCAAAAATACAAAACTGCATTCGCAAACACAAAACTCGTTATCTTTCGCCACGGTATGAGCTATCTTTCATGTCACAAGAGGTGTACCGCTTTCTGACGCCCTCTCTTCAAAAAGAGAATGCAAGCTTTTTTCGTAGCACATTTGTTTAAGGGAAAATTCCAGGCAAATGGGCTCCGTAAATGAAAATCGTTTTCGCCGCTTTCGGTTTCTCCTATTCTCCTCTTGATCGCGCCAGCTGCATACGTTTCGTTAGTGCGCCTTTTCTTCAATCAGAGAAGCGACGTCGTTGCCGTTTGGGCTTCAACAATGAGGAGAGGAGGAGATTTGAAACCATGCTACTGGAAAACTTCAGGTGCAACACACATAGAAACACATATTTACATAGAAATTATGGATAAAAGTGAACTCAATGTTTTGCAGCATGAGTGGCATTACTTGGTCGTATGACCACCTAATGTATGAAAAAGTTATAGGCAGCATGCACGCAAATCTGGAGATATGGGTATTCCACGTGAAAAATAATTTTAAAACGAATTTTTGCAGCTATCCACGTGAAAAGTAATTTTAAAATGAATTTTTGCAGCTACTCTTACAAAGACTATTGAGAGTTGCATTGTGAACTGACAAAACATTCTTTCCAACTCAAAAAATTCCAGTTACCAACAAGAAGAAGGAAGAAGCCGTAGGTGAAGTGTTGAAGAAGTTGAAACTATGGCCCGTAGTAAACCCCCCATCAAGGCATCTCTCTCGACGCGGACCGGAGTTGAGGTCATCGCGCCCCAGTCCAGCATAATGCGAGCTATTGATTTGGATGCGGATCACTGCCGAGGCATTGCAATCAAATGTGCACTCGAGCTGGTTTGGTCAAACGGGTAAGCGATTGGAACTACGCGCGCGCGGCCGTGGTTCGACTTCGTCTACCAACTCGCTTTTTGATGCATCGCCGGGCAATCTTTGATAGCGGCCACTATGGCAATCGATGATGATCGCTATCAAGGATTTCGCCAAGCAAATACACGGATAAAACAAAAACACAATTTGTGACGAAAATTTTATGAAAAAACGAAATGATAGTAGCGTGTATTCAATGAAATGAATAAATGAGTTCTTGTCTTGTACAGCCAGTGAGAAAAAAATCAGTAAGATTTACAAAAAAAAAAGAAGAATTTGTTTTTTGTTTTCCTCGCCAAAATCAGCTGTTCATCGATCCTCTCCTTTTCGGGCGCGGTTGTGCAGTTTTGCGTTGATTTTTTCTGCATTTTTTGGCAGAGCTGTTTGTATCGTAAGTTACTCAGGAGCAACTTATGTTAGATGCAGTCAACTCTTGTCTGCGTCTCCTCTTTTACACGCTATTTGCATCCCTCTAACATCCATTCACGTTCAGTTCAACTCAACGTGAACGGATGTGGAACAGTTGACTGCAGCAGGTGGACAGATGGCCAACTATCAGTTGACTTGACCATCTTATAGCATGGGAAGGTGGACGGTCATCAGTTCACCTCACCTAAGCTTAACTGAGTTGAGTTGAGTTCACCTCAATTGATCAAGCTTTACTACAGGCCTATTTGCGGTCAACACAGCAATCTCTACTAGAAGCATGTCAGAATAATCAGTTTATGACGCCTACATCCAAAAAACATTGTTTATTTTTTACTAGGTTGCCAAAAATTTCATTATCTTTCGATGTTGCTTCACAAAGTGTTGAAGTTAAACACACATTCGTTTTAGGAAAAGTCTGCGACATTTAATCTACAGAAACATTCGCAGTCACAGGGCTTAACACGTTTAATGGAATCTATTGAATGCTCCATAATGCATTGATCATTATGTCGTACTACACCATTGCTTATTAGTAAACTGCTTTGCTAAACAAAAACAACGAAAGCTGGAAAATGCTTAAATTTAGGTGCTCGAGAAATCAGAATTGTTCTTCGCTCGTTGTGGCTCTAATTCTTTGCGATGTAGTATAGAATATGCTCTGTATACTTCGAAAAGTTCTTAAATTTTACCGTTTTTAGGTTTCACTTAACAACTGTTCAACGACATCCGGACGAGCATTTTATACACTTTTTTATCTGCTTTCAACAATTATGTTCCCAAAATTTTCGAGTGTTTTCAGATCTGTCAGAGTCTGCTGCTATGAATTTAGTACTAGACATAATTAAGTAAGCTATCCAGGTATACGATGCCCGCTCTTTTTTGGCCTTCCCATTTGTTAGGCACTTAGGTTTTTCGCTTTTTAAAATTAAATCAGCGAATTTTTTCTCCAAGCTGTATGCACTAAAAGCCCAAGATTTTTTCAAATTGAATTTACAAGAATTTTTTAGAAAAATTCGAAAGGCTGATCTTGGTGATCTTCGGTAACCAGAACTTGAGAAAAATTTACCACCTAAGTAATGGTGTTTTTCCAAATTGAAATGAACGACTTCAAATTAGGAAAATTAGGTGTTTGGACGTTATGATTTACTGGCACTTCTTGGGACATGTTCTGTGAGACTCTTTTGAAAAGCAAGTAAACACAGTATCCTACTTTGGTGTACTTTTGTGACACAGACATGCTTATCAATGTCTATAGGAAAAATATGCGAAGTTGCAAACGGTCATTACTGCGATGTCATATGCACGATTATCGACGACAGATCAAAAAAAAAGTAAAAATGACACAATCTGTCTTTCCCCTTAAACAAAAATTTTTTTTGTACAAGCAGAAAAAAATTTTGTTCAAATTGTGCGCATTCAAGCAAGCGATTTCATAACGATGTCGATTCAAGGGAAGCTGTATTACGCATAGCATTGGGCGTACTTTTATCAAAGGCTCTAATGAGCTGTACGGTTGTCTATCATCATTTGGATCATCGTGTAATACTGTGCTTAATGAGCAGTACACTTTTCAATAAAGCTTTATTGACACCAGTCTAACATGAAGAGTATCCTCGTAATTGGCAGAAGGCTTTGTCCCACATCTTTTATTGACGAGATGGTGGTGCGAAAGCAATCTTCGAGTTGGTTATGCTCTGATTAACAGATGCTGTGATCGCAGCGAAATGCGTGGTTGAGGATATACTTACTGTTCTTGTTTTCGGTGCTATTTTGAATGGGTTAACAATATGCCGCAAAGATGCCATAATCCAGAATGTTGTTACTATATCAGTACATGGAACCCACAAAAAGGTTGTGAAGTAGAACACTCGCATCAATGCGTGATCCTGAAATAGATAAGCAATTACCCGCCTATTAACCTTACACCGCATATGAAAGAGTAATTGTTGCCTAGGGAGAAACAGCACTAGCTTACATGTTTTTGAAAACAAATAAGTTAGAACGCACACTTCCTATATCGAGTCCCTCGACTATCGTACATATCAAAGATGCTAATAGTGCTGATAGAAGACTTCCTCCGTGAATCAAAATACGCATTTCGTTGCGATTTCTAAAACAGCTCAATGAGCAAAATACGCTGGTAACTCTCAAAAAATAGCACAATGTTGTAAAGCTGCACCTTTTGGTGGGTTTTCTTTGAAGATAAGGGGAGAATAACTTTCAGTTTTTGATAGTTTTTGATCTAAATACTGCAAAACTCTTGGAAAATCAACTACAGCATCACAAAGAACACAATGTCTACATGTCTTCCTGATCATTCCGGTGTACCAGGCTAATATGGCTGCCAAAAATTTTGTCTCTCAAATAAAATCGACTTGTCTTTCCTTTCTGAGAAGATATAACCCCTTTTGTGGAATCATGCGTGATAAATCTTTAGCTATCCATGCTATATGCGTGACGCACAACTCATCTAAATTACTGGCTGCATCTAGGAAACGAAAGGCGTCGAAACGATCGTTACGTTTAGCGTTGCCGTTTCACTTTTTATCTACTAAATTTTGGGATTTCATTGACACGTTCACAACGAGCCTTTTTCAAGTCTGCCACCGTGAACGAGATGTTCGTGCACGCTTTAAGCTAATTCAGAAACCAGAAACCCTTACCAGATGAAATAACTTCAAGTGAAAATTCTGCCATCTTTCGTAGAAGACTGCAAAATGTTGATGTACTTCAGATTCTAAAAATATCTGATTTTTAGATACTGCTTCCAACCCGATGTCCCTCAGCCTTATAGTTGTCAATTAGTTGCTGTTATGTTCGCCATGGCTTCCATTCGCTCTTCAGAGCTTAGCTTCCGCAGGAGTCCTATGTCGTTTTCCAGACTGATGCATCGCTTCGGTTCGGATGTGCCGTGTTTCTGCCTGTCATTACTGCCATCTACCTCTTTTCTCCCATTAATGTTCTTGAGAGTGCCTTTGTGGCTGCAGTGCTTCACCATGATTAGTTTTATCAGCTTGCCGTATATCAAGGAAACTGTATCTTCACCTTACCGCCCCTTGCCTTACCTCAGGTCTTTTCAAAAGTCATCATTGTCAATTATTATCTTCATGCCTAGTACCTCAGCCATATCTTGCCTTCTCCCAGCCTATTCCTTCTTGGGCCCAAGTCAGCTAGCCTCCGCCTATAGGCTCGCTGACACCAAATCGGGGGTGTCAGCTATCATTGAGACGGCAAGATGCTGAAGTCTAGTCTTTAACTAGCCTTGTCTGCTGCTTTCTTATTCTTTACGTGGAGAGCTCAATACCCGTTAATCCGAAGCCTTGTTTACCTCACATTTTATCTCATTAGGCAATCATGTTCGTTCAGTATTATGTCTTCTGTTCATTCCACTTTTCGTTTTTGTTTCTGCTACACCTATTGAGTGTATTGTAAAATAAAAATAAAAATAAAATTTTTGTATGGTCAAACTCCAAAAACAAAAATAAACAAACATAAACGCACGCCTTCTTCCGTACTAGACAGAACATAGAAATATAGCCGAGAATGGAAAGTACAAGTGCGATAGAGCGGTAGATAAAAGCGATGATGTAAATAGCCTAAAATACTTACACCTGATTCTTTTTCGATTTTATGGCAGTACTGACCCGTTCATAGGCTGGATCCATAGCACTTAACCATAGTGGCATTGTAACGCCTTTAAACCCGTATGCATGATCACAAATGAAATAAAGAGGTATTGCCGTCACTGTAGGGAGGAATGTTTGTAGTGTGAATATTTTCCACTTATTCATTCGCTCAGTAGCCTACAACTAATGCTGTTACGTTACCCGACTAAAAAGGCGTCATCATTCAATTTTCAACCATGTGAGATGAGGTTTATACAAGCATTTGAACCCTTGATTTATGTTATAGGTCCTTCAGAAGGATTTCTTGATTTTTGTGTCTTTGACGTTGCTACATGATGAGGGCTTTCAAAAGGCTGATGTAAGTTGCCATGAATGGAATTTTAAAGGAAGCCCTCGATTTTGGGATTGCCAACATTGGTGCAGAAATGGCTTTCGAAGCTTACATGGCTATAAAGTCGACATGTGAAAACGCGAGTTGTAAACAAGCGCATTCTTCAAGCTCAACTTATTACGTGAGGTTATTGAAAAAGCAACATTGTGCGCAGGGATGTTACCGACGATGCACTTCCCTCAAGAATGATGCAAGATTGGTTTTGAAATAAAGATCCCAGACTTGATGAGCTGAAGGCTACTGTTTTGCAATATCCTAAAAGGTATTTTGCCATAGACGAGCAGCTTAGAATGACGTCTGGGCCAAAACGCAATCGTAGATGAGAAATATCAGCAGCTTTTGACTGTCTCATAACCTCATTAAAAACCAAAGCTTCGCAAAAGTTGCAATACAGAAAAGTTGTAGGATACTAGCAGCTAATGGTTGCAGAAAACTCTCAGCTACAGAATTCTACAAGTTTTGTTTGTTCATAATTACGAAACAATCCTTTCGGCTCCAACTGTTGCCATGAGCGAAAAAAAATGTCAGTCACTTGGTAGAAAAAGGCTGAACTGAAGTTGTGCTCATTTCAAAAAAAATTTTTTAAGTCTTAGCTTAGTTAGCTTCTTGTTTACGATAAATCTTTCTATATAAATTAAAAGAAAGAGATCATGCACTTCGCAGTAGTGCTTGAAGCAAGAATTGACGTTATATTGCGGCAACAAAAGCAAATTAAGACAAACACTTTGGCGCAATTTGTGAATTTCATATAACAATATGCAAAAAGTTTCAAAGTTTGGTCCCTCAGTTTGATTCAAAGGTGAATGTAATTGCACAAGCAAGTATAGATGCAGGTAGACACATATGCAGACATTGAGCTTCATATGTATAGAAGATGATACCGAAGGCCGTCTTGTTGTCATACGAAGTGAAAAAATCCCGAGCTATCAAATGTTGTCAAAGTTGCTGAGCATACGATGTGCAAATCCATGCAATGCGTTGGTAGCACAACATTTAAGAAAGAGTACGGTCTATGTTAGCATTTCTGATGTCATTCTCATAAAATCTATGACACGCTTGGAAATTTTCATATTACTCTATTCAAAAATACTAAAGGAGGTTTTTGCTAAGCCTTGGATGTCTATTTCCGGTAGCACCCGGTATTTTTTTTTTATGAAACCAGACTTACGGCTTTGAGGCAAGAGGCCGGAAATGAACAAGCAAACTGAGTTTACAACGTATCTAGTGCAATTCTGCGATTTTGTAAAGATATATTTATGATGTTACCCCCCCCCCCCCATTTCCCCAAATTTTATCCAAAGGTTACTACGAGAGTACAGCTCTAAGCGCCCTCGTGTTTCGCTAACTGCGCCATTTGGCACTGCAAAAACAGGTGTATGTCAAGAGGCGCAATTTTTGTTGCCAGATGGACACTAGTTGCCGCATTTTTAGTATTTTGGGTGGCTGGGAGCAAATCAAATTCAAAGGTATGGTATCCCATAGTCCTCGATCATATCATTTTGGAATGGATTCAAAACATAAGTGTTGGAGAAAACTCGTAAAAATGCCACTATTGCTGTTCTCGTAAGTATTATATAAAGCCCAAAAGCCGTCAAAATAGTGAGTGGTAGCTTCTGACAGTCAGTAAGTTGAAGCTTTTTGTCTGGTACTATTGGAAGACTTGCAAAGCTCTCGACTGGGCTGTTAGGTTGGTGACCTTCACAGAAATCTCGAGCGTCTCCCGCGAAAAAATGCTCAAAATAAGCTGTAGGGATTTTACAAAAATCACATTGCATGAATGTTGCATTAGCTTGCAAGAAAACGAAAAATTAAAAGATACGATGCATAACCATAATCATCTCGCCATGATTCTTTTCACATAGTTTACGAATTTGCATGAACGTTTATTTGAATCATGCAAGCTCAGGTTTTTTGCAGATTGCGGGAGTGATTACTCACAAACGCTGGTAGCCAAAGGAAAAGTGACACACTTTGATTGATAAAGCTCATGCTGCAGCCGATTGTTGATGTATTCCAATAATCTGAAAGCAGTGACCTGGCAAAACCGAAATCTCGAAATTTTGATAAAAGGTTGCTTGCAGCCCAAACATGAGAACAGAGCAGTTCCAAGCACACGGCATGCTGCCCCCTGCTTAGAAAACTGCCCTTAAACCCGTCGCGCAAGCCATTCTTACACGCACTCAAACGAACTTGCGATTCCATTTCTCAGCGTCAAAGGCAGCACCTCGCAATGCTAAAAACATGAGGGTCTCACGAAGACTCTACGTTTCCAATTACTGCGAAACTGTTCCACTCGTCCAAATTCCAAGCGAAAGGCCGAGGAAATGCCAATTTTCGCCATTCTCGCCCTTCTAGGGGAGATTTTCGGGATCAGCGCGTCGAATTGATCCAGGTAAGCTAAAAAAACCAGGTCAAGGAATTGCCGAGTCACTGCCTTTGAACAGAAGAATTAAATAACAAGGTTTGGCAGTAGGCAGCTGGATGTTGTAGAGAAAACCTAGCGGTCTACACTCGGCTATAAAAAATCTTGGTTGAGCGAATGAAGACATTTTCTTTAGGTACAAAGCTTGAAAGTCATGAAGAATGTGAGCAACGGGTCTCCAGTTCAGCTAAAGCCTAGCTGGAAAATTACAATTGATCAGAAGTTGGCCGCTTCTATTCATTCTAATTTTCATGCATTTTTCGAAAAAAAGGTCATCAATAAATCAAAGTCAACCAATAATTTTTGGGTGAGAGTGCACAATGCATATCGCCATACAAGCGTTTCAAGAAACAAATGCTCACCATTAGTTTAGTGTTTCCATTGCATGGCTTTGTGCACTTTCAGTCATAAACTTAGCAAGCTCATCACTGTCATAAACCTCATCACATATAGTCGTTTTTCAATGACGCTAAATTTGCTCACATGTGCAATTCTCGAATGTGGTAAGCATATGGCGCAGAAACGCCCCCCAACGGTCAAAAATACGTTTAAGATTTGTATATACATGATATGTTCTTGAGTAACCTGTGCGAACTTTGTCCACCAAGTGAAGCGATTGAGATAGTAGCACGTGGGATTTATGACGGGGAAAAATCTGACATACATAGTCGTTAAAAAAAATATAAGTGTGAACAAGTTGATCCAGCTCTGAAACAAATTTCTATCACTAATCGAGCTCAAATGGGATCATTGTCAGGCTAACCAGAAATCTATAGAATTCTCTTGTAATCTTTCAACACTATTTAACGAGAATCAGAAGTAGACAAGTATTGATTTTCTCAATTTTTTACCATTTGGAACATCAATTCGTGCCCTTTATGCAAAATCCAGAGCATCTCAAAGCCAACGAGCTATTGATTCTGGCTGCTTTGCGAAGAGGCAAGAAATCGGAAAAATTTGTCATACGAAACACGACACAGAACACGAACTGAGCTAGTAGCGAGCAAGCGTACGGAAATGGAGGAACAGGGGGGGGGGGGGAGAGGTTAGAGCTTATTAGGTCAAAACGCATAGTTAAAAGCGACGATCAGGCACTTGTCTCCTTTCCGGTACCGGACTGCAGGAGCGGTAGTTATCAATCTCCTGTACATCCCTATCACGCCTGTACGGGAACTTACAGTAGAAGGGCGCCAGCAGCGCGAGCGGGCGCATACCAACAACGCCTGCTGACGTAAACTTTGCATATTGCAAACATTTGAAAACCCATCATTTTTTCACTGTTTTCCCTTTTCCTTTCGATTCTAAAGCACAGTCTTTCTATTGATATGTACCTTTAATTACCATGTCAACAATAGTAAAGTCAATTTGAGGGATTAAAGCCACTTTTTTTTGAAAAGTGCCGGAAACGGTCAAATATCATAGTGCACTATTCAAAGCGCAGAGATAAGAAAATTGCAGAAATGTACAATTCAATCAAAAGTCTATTTCTTGGTTGAATGAAAGCACTAGTTATCAAATTACATAAATTAGAACTGGATCGGATCACTATAATTATCAGAATTTCCCGTCACCATACTGTCTGGGCTGTGTGACCTCACATTAGACAGGGCATGGGCTCAAGAATCCTATCTGGCAAGTTTGGCCATGTCGGGCAAGGCAGCTCTGATCTCGACAGATCAGGCTCTGCTGCCCGTTTGGGCCATGCTAACCAAAGTACGGGATAGAACACTCTAGCCTGTCTGGGCTGTGTATAGGGATGGAAAAGCAGCGAGTAGGAGATTGGTGAATACCACCCCAGATTTGTGAGGGTTACCATCACGAGTGGGTGAGTTTTCCGCAAAAGCATTCAAGTCACAAGTCGTCAATCATTTATGGTACTTGATTTGGTTTGCTGGTTATTCTAAGAAGTGCTCTCTTAGCTACGCCTACAAAACCAGTTACAACGTACGATCCATGTGCTCACATTTGTTTGGACAAAAAAAAACGTTGACGTTAAGTATCCGTTGGACAATAAACGATCGTATAAAAAGCACATAAAAGGGTACCTCATTCCAGCAACAACGGTAGTAAAAACTATTCAACACCTTCGATCTTCGACTTTTCCACATAGCTATAATTGCACCAGCACATAGCAATAAACAAGAAACAACAGTTAGGCCCAATAGATATATGGCACAATCAATAAGCATCTTAAATGCACAAAGTAAAAAATACTGTAGCAATTAACGCACGAGTTATTTCGATAAT